CTGTTTAATGATCTGCTCTAGAATCTTTCCCAGTATTGATGTCAGATTGGACGATAGTTGTTGGGATCCTTTTTTCCTCCTTTTTGAAAATGGGGACAATGTTTGCCCTCCTCCAGTCTGCTGGGACTTCTCCTGTTCTCCAGGAGTTTTCAAAGATTATTGCCAGTGGCTTTAAGATTACATTTGCCAGTTCTTTTAATATCCTTGGATGTAATTCATCTGGTCCTGGAGTTAGGTTAACCAGGTATTCCTGTATTTCCTCTTTACTTATTTTGTGCTGTATTTCCCCTATTGTGTCCTCTGCTCCATTTTCCTCAGGTTGAACATCCTTTTCCTTTTGTGAGAAGACTGAGGCAAAGATGTTGTTGAGTAGTTCTGCCTTTTTTCTATTCCCTGTTACAATTTCTCCATCTTCTCTGCGCAGTGGTCCTACCATTTCCTTCTCCTTTCTTTTGCTATGGACATACCCAAAAAAGCCCTTTTTTGATGTTCTTAACCCCTCTAGCAAGCCTGAGCTCATTCTGTGCTTTGGCTTTCATGATTTTACCCCTACACGTGTTAGCTATTTGTTTGAATTGCTCTTTAGTGATTTTCCCCTTTTCCATTTATTATACATCTCCCATTTAAAACTTAGTTCAGTTGAAAGTTCTTTTGTCATCCAACCTTGTTTCTTGAGACATCTCCCATTTTTCCCTCTCACTGGAACAGTCTGAGATTATGCTTTTAGTATCTCCCTTTTGAGAAACTCCCATCCATCCTGAACTCCCTTCTCCTTTAGTATTTCTGACCATGGGATCACTCTCAGTGTTTCCCTAAGTTTGTTGAAATCAGCTCTCCTAAAGTCTAGAATGAGTGTCCAACTATGCCTAGCTTCTCCTTTCCATTGTATAAGAAACTCCAGGAGAATATGATCAGTTTCACCTAAGGATCCCACCACTTGCACCCCATTTACCAGGTCATCCCTGTTTGTTAAGATCAGATCTAAAATAGCTGATCCCCTTGGATCTTCCACCTTTTGGACAATGAAATTTTGAAATTTGAGGCAAGTGAGGAAATTGCTAGACCTTGAAGTATTGGCTGAGTTTGACTTC